TTCAAGTTGGCATACAGCTTGTTTTCACGCATCACTTGGAAGACTTGCCTCAGATGCTTCAAGTGGACTTCAAGCGCGCTGAGGCCTCCCTCAGCGCGACTGTGTACGAAGATGTCATCGAAATAACTCGGTGCGAAGTCGCGGAGCGGGCGCAGCACATGGGATACCATGCGATTGAACGTGGCGGGAGCATTTTTCAACCCTTGCGGCATAACAAGCCACTCCCAGAGCATACCACAGGGAATGCTTACCGCTGTGAGCGGTATATCCCTCAGCCTCATGAGGATTTGGTAGACCCCATCGGTCAAGTCGATGGCGCTGAAGACCTCACTACCCGACATTGCGTCGAGCACCATGTCCTTCCGAGGAATCGGCGTCTGGGCAGGGATGGTAGCGTCGTTCAGCTTGTTGAAGGCATGGACGATGCGCCATCCGCCCGTGGCTTTCTTCACACAGAAGGTCGGACTGGAGTGCGGCGATGTGCTCTCACGCACATGACCCGCCTTGCGGCGGCTCTCGAAGAAGTCATCGATAGCTTGGACCTGATCTCGCGGGAGCGGCCACTGCCGCGTCACACAATACTTCGAGCCGGGCACGAGATCGATCTCGTGGCGAATTCCTCGGTCAGCTGGCAACTCAGCTGGGATCTTATCCGGAAATACATCTTCATATTCGCGGGCGGTCTCGTAGACTGGATTGCCGGATTCGCGTAGCGCGTCCCAAGACTGCGCTGCGAAGCGCTCCTCGCGGGCCGACTTCGGCTCAGCGCTCTTTGGGCGCGAGGGAGCGTCGCCGTCACTGACTGAATTCACTTCGAGCGACGCCGAATCGGCGTCGGTGATCAGGCAAACCTGTTCGATTTCATCGTCCTTGAGGCCGCGAAGGGCCAATACAGCCAGCCAACGATCGTACGGCGAAGACCGAAGACAACTCTCGACCGGGGAATCCGTACCCGGGAACCGTGGGACGTACAGATCCCGAGATCTCATGGACGGGACAGCGCAAATCAGGTGTTCGCAGTGCGGATCCCGGAAGCACACAGAATATGGATGTTGGAAACATCTGGTTTGTGAGAAGTGTGGCAAGAAGGGTCATCCCGGGGATCATTGCTTCTACGTGTGTCGCGGTTGTGGCGAGATCCACGACGTCGGCAAGTGCCCGATGGAAGCGTTCTTCAACCAGATCCGCCGATGGATTGATCCAGCCAAGCACAGAGGGATGTTGCCAGAAGTGGCAGAGAGGATGTTTAACTTGGACGCTCGCCGGGTTTGAATCCGGTACGAGCCGAGCGTTCTAGGTATTGCATTCATGCATTTGTGAACAAGACGTTGCTAGATCCAGGTAGCAGGCTCCTAGATCCAGTCGATAATACACGTGATCTACATGAAGTTTCAGTTGCCAAGATTTCTAGTTTGCGCCAAGTGGATGAATTTGCCAGATCCGAAGTCTCTTCAACCCTGGATCTACAAAGGGAGAAGCGCGCAGTTACTGGGAGAAACGACAACATGGTCGATGGTTTGAGCCTACCAAGGGCGAAGTCAGTGCAGATCCACCCAAGGTTGGTCAGGTCACTGGATCCCGTGGGTCTGAAGAGATTGGATCCATGGATCTGCTGACGGGGGAGTCCCGTGGATACTGGAAGTACCATGCACCAGGAAAATGGCTCCGACAAGCCATGGTAGGAGGCAAGATCAACAATGTAAAGCCCATCAATCTCCTAGATAGTGTGCC